TTAAGTAATCCCAACCAAACCTATTTCGTTTTGCAATATCAATATACATTTTTTTGTTTGACCAGGGACCTCAGACCTTTGGCTGACCGCATTAAACATGCATTGGACTTATTAACATTCAGTGAATGAAAACAATCAGCAAAGAGCTCAAACTACAAAATGAATGCTCTGATCCCATTAAAAATTGAAGCTTTATTTCTGATTTGTCACCACAGGGACTCAAACACCCCCCACACACACACACACACACACACACACACACACACACACACACACACGCTGAATACACGTGTGTGCTTCGATTAGCTAATAAAAATCAGAGCAAATAGCTTGAATTTTTCATGAACTAAGTATCTGTGACTATTGAATATTTCACCCAAACTCCCGTTGATTTGGCACCGTTCGAAGTCCTTCAAGTACCGCAAAAGCAGAAAATTCCCGCACTGACGACACTGGAGAAATCAACGCGAAAATTTTTAGCGCTGCAAAGCTTTTAGCTTAAGCATTGAGAGAATATCGCTGCCAAATCCTTGAGGATTTCAGCAGTTGCTGACTTGCATTTTTTATGGTGCGCCAAGGCGCCAAGGCGAAGCGAGGATGAATAGAGAGAGCAGTTGTTGTTCGCCTCGGGGTCTTTGCGACTAGCAATAAATGCTAGGTGCACCCCCTGAATATACCCTGTAGGTAAGTGAGTGCAGGTGGGGTTGACAGGGTAAAGATCTCAAATGGAAACCGACTTTTATATAAGGAAATTCGGGACTCAGCTGATGTCTCACTTTCTATATGAACTGAAAGATTATTATTATAGATTATTATATAAAATACAAATAAATAACTGTACGTCTAGCCGAATATATTGCATGTATTGCATATATGCCGTTTGACTGCCTAACCCCAGAATAGCATTCAAATAAACACTGGGTATTTTTAGTGCATGTTTCACACAGCGAACTTGCCACATAATAGTTGCTAGCTGTTGTCGCCCTTTCTTTTCTTCTTGATTCTTGTATTTTTTTGATTCTTGCATTTTGTGATTTTCATGAAGTTTCTCGCTCGTCGCTTAATGCGTGAAAATGCAGCAAGCTCAATGAAAAATTTGCATAATTTGATATTAAAAAGCAAAAGTTTTCATTTAACAATTGTAATGCTTTACATTTGATTGCGTTTTTCCACGACTGCCAGCTGTGCACACAAGCGAGGGGTGTGGCTCTGCATTAAGAGGGTAGCTCAGAGAGCTCACCCTAATTATGCCATTGAGCGGAGTGTGTGTAAAAAGTCAGGGTGCCTGCATGCGCAGGGGCACTCACGCGAAATTCGACCAGGAATTATGTCATCAAAAGCATCCCAGCTGTCAGTCGAGATGTAATTAGCTTGGCCAATTCGAAATTGAGACATCAAGAGTGGGCCTCAAGGCATATCTATGCCATGTGTACTATATACGTAGATGTGTGAGCCAAATGCAAACAGGTGCCGGCCAGCTGTAAGGCGAGCTACCCAAAGTGCAGTTGAATACAAATTATTTTTAGCAAGCGGCTACAATTTCAATAGGTCCATAAGGCGGACGCATCTAGCTGCTGCTAGCCCAGGAAGTTGTCAATGGTAACTGGAAACCAAATACTTGGCCTGGTCAGCCACACATACATTAGTCTCTCTCTCTCTCGCTCTCTATCTCTCTCTGTATTTATATATATATATATATACATATATCTATTTGCGCTGTAAGCCGATCTGCTTCTTGTTGGCAAATGCAAAATTCAAAATTTAATTAATTAGTAAGGTCATCGAGCAGTGTTTGGTGTGGCCTGTGGGTGTGCGCCTGTGTGTGTGTGTGTGTGTGTGTTTTATGGCTAATATATTTGGTCTACATAATTAGTGGCTGAAACATGAATGAACAAAGGCAATGTTGAATATTTCATGTTTATTATTATCAAACATTTTGGCTATTAAGTCTTTAAGTCTTTTGTTCAAGCAAATATTATTAATGTTTTAATATTTTAATTGAAACAAATTCATAATGCATTAATTCTTTAAACAGATTATAGGATAACAAAAAATTGTACAACATTAGGAATTTATTTTAGCAAATAGGAATTTATGTTTAATTAACCATGAAAAAAAAAATTTAATATTATGGAAAAATGAAAAGTGTGGAATTTCACGAAAAGCACGAAAAAAGTTTGTATCGGCATTAAATATTATAAAAATATGGATAAATTTACACAAGAATGTATTGATATTTACATGTATATGTTATATTTATATAATATCTATATGACATCCATATAATATCATTTTAAAATATTCTATTATTAGCTAGTGCTTCTGAAATGTTTATAGCCTCTTAAAAAATATTTATTAAATATCTCAGCATATTTTATAATGTGTTTATATTGATAAAATATCTAAACATATTTCATATGTTTTATAATATAAGCAATCTTCTCAATTGAAGCACCTCTATATATACTATATATAATTTTTATCGATTCCCGATCGCATCATTTTCTGTAAAACCTAAAGAAAAAATTGACAGGCGTATTGCCAGCTCAATTGAATCGTTGATAAGCCCTGCATAAATCTCTCAATATGTGCTCACTCAGTCGATCCCAACGATTTCCAGCTGACCTCATCCGCTGGCTGAGCTGTCAATTAGCTGCCCCTAGTGGCAGCAGCAGCTTCACTGCCAGCTGATTGCGATCCATTGAAGCGTTCGCTGCGGACTGCAGTCAAGCAGCCTCGGCTAATCTCGCTCGCTGACTCGCTCACTCACTCATTTACTGCGCCCATTGTCTCTTTCTGGCTGCAGACAATTGTGGACAGGAAGCGCTTAGCCAAATGGCTGCAGTTGCTGCGGAGCAGCAGCTTAAGCCGCATTAGACAAACGCACTGGATGGGTCTTACGCCTTATAGAGCACATGCCAATTGCTACCTGAGTCCACAAATGTGACCTTATTAGCCGATTGGCAAATACGCGCCAGAGCCAGGCAGCAAGGTTTGTGTGTTTGTGAATGGGACGTGGCCTGGGCCATTGTTGTCCTGTACAGTGAAACATATGTAATGGCGTCTGCTTTTCCTGCTTTTGCATAGATGAATATGTTGTAATAGCTATTGTTATTGTTGTTGCCGTTGTTGTTGCTGTTGTTGCCGTACTTGATTTATTATGAAATCCGTACATGGTTATTAGTTTTTCAAATGCTTTCGGTACAGGCAATAATTTTCCAAAAACCAGCCCTTGCCAAAAAAAAAAAAACACAGAAAGAAAATAAAGCGAATGAAAGGCAAAGGAAACCCCTGCCGTGAGCTGTGTTCCTTCGCACACGCAACCCGTGGGCAAACAAAGGTTCAGGATGCCAGGACTCCGGCGTCCCTCTCGCTGCCCTCTGCTGGCTCTGCGCTATGCGCTGCTCGGGTTCCGCTCTTTCATTAAACCCTCGCACTCCTTTTGCCATTTCAGCGCTAAATTTGATTTATATACATTTTATTATATTTGCCCCTTGCCATCCCCTGTGTAAGCCACCTTGTTCTGTCTATCTTTCTTCTCTCTGCCATATTTGCCAATAGCCCCTGGTTGTTGTTGCTGTTGTTGTTATTTCGTGTGGCGCTAATGAATTCAAATGTGTGCGTAATTGAGTTATTAAAATTTCAGTGAACAGCGAACCGAACTCCGACAGCAACTGCTCAGAAGTCGCACTGCAGTCGCAGAGGGGATGCTTTGCTGTCTGCCGAGCCAGGCATTTCTCAATTCTTAAGAGGCGTTCAAGCGAAAATTTCTGTTAGATTTACAACAGCAAACGATTGAAATGAAAAAAATAAAAAATGTAGAGAAAATTATATATATATTTAATTTATGGCCAAGTGCAGTGCAATTTATCTTCGGGCCGTGCTTGCTGCAAGTGTAAATGGGATGAGCGAAAGGGCGAAGTATACGAACACGACTGAAAGCGCCGAACGAGTGTAGCTCGTACCGCAATGCAGACGGGATTACAGATGCTAAAGCTATAGCATTAGATTGTAGCTATAAAACAATCTTAGAGGTGATTACTTAAAGCAGGAATTCAGTAGAAGAAGAAGCAGAGTAATACTGCTGGCAAATTTAACATGCATATTAAAGTGAAGTGAAATTTTTAGCTACTTAGAAATGAGATATTGCATATACACCTATCTAGTCTACTAGATAAGCCTATAAGACTAGGTAAGACTGCTAAGCTCGTAGAAGGTATATGCACTTAAGGCTTTTATAATTTTCATACAGTACATACTTGATAATTTGAGCCCCGCTAAATCAAAAATCGTGATAAATCGAAAAATTCGTTTTCGATAATTATCGATAATTTTAATTTCTGTGTAAATCGAAGAAAAATGATCTCATTGCCATTGCGAATTATCGGGACTCGACCGTATAATAATGCACATATATTCATAGATCTATTATATGTGAAAGTATTTCACTTCCATGAGTTCGCATATCTAAGCACAATTCAGCCCAAGCCCAACAAGCATATTCGGATTAACAAGCTGGGTTTAAAGGTGCATACAAATATACATTTACTGCCAGTACACGAAACAGGAATTTCACTCTTTTTGTACACCCAAAATGTTAACATTTATGATAGAGCACATACCTAATAGCATTTGGCTGAAAAACAAAGCTTTCATGTTAAATATTTGTTAGCTGGCAGTTTGACATGCATGTTGAAATTACACGCGGCTAAAACTAAGCAAACACGTTCTATTTGCGGGCGCGTGTTATGTTTTGGAATGCTCACACATACACACAAACCACACACACACACACCCATGTCTACCTATGTAGAATATAATTTGTTTATATTATTTTATAATTAGCATGCTTATGCGAGCCCTGCTTTAATTATGTCAATTAAAATGTGAACAAATGTGTTGGCTCAATATTTCAATAGTTGCTGTCGATGAAATTGTATATAGATATATATTTGTGTCTTTTATGTTACGGCGAATGTTTTAAATTATGAACTAACTGTGATTTATGGCGCTTGTCTGCCCATCAGCAGGCAACTAAATAACTAACGAGAGGCATTGGCCAAATACCCAATGTGCAGCAACAAAAATGCATCCATTTACAGGAAATCAGCAAACACAAACACACACACAGTCCGCTCACGCGGGCGAATTTTACAGTCAATAATTCCGCTTAAATACATCGCTTAAATTATGCAGCACTTGGCTGGCCCCAACTACCGGAGCCCCCAAACAGCAAATAACAATAAAGCTAACTAACCAAAAAACAAAAACCAAAAAAAAAAAAAAAAAACAAAGAGGAAAATTTACACGTTCATGTTCCACCCTCGATGCATGGGAAAATGACTTTTCATTTTTTTTTTCCATATTTGCCAAATTTTCAATTTTATATCTATTTCTTTTTTTTAAATTTATTTTTTTTTGTTTTGCTTATGACTCTCGAAGGACTCGAAGCTGAAATGTTTAAAGAGCGCCATGGGAATGCTACAGAGAGTTCTGGGCCAATTGGGGGGACGGAAAAAAAAACTACTCTATGTGAAAATTGTGCTGATCTGTGAGTAAGCGAGCGAGCGGGGGCGAGCTGCGTGCATGGGTCGAGCAAATATTACCCTTGCATTTTTCATATATAATTCGAAGCGGCGTCTTTTTTTTTTATTTTTTTTTATTCGCCCGAGCAAACATTTTGCAATCAAACAAACTGCGAGCGGGGGGAGGGGAAGGGGGGGGTTAGGGTTTGTTGGTCCCGGCTGCAAATCTATATAATAATTTCGCGTGTGCTTGATTTTCACGGCACTTGAAACACTCAAGTGCAGCCAAAGTCGAGGGGTTTAGCAGGCAGCCGGCATTTTATGCGCCTCGTATATTAAAACCCATAATTTGGCTTAATAGTTTTTGCAATTACCCGAAGGGTTGTGCGTACAGCGACAGCCCTAACCCTTTTTTTTATGTGTGCCCGAACGAAGCAGGAAGCGCAGCAATTCGCAAAGCAGCAGCAGCAGCAACAGCAACAGCCATGGCAGGAAGTTGGCCGGGCGATGGCTGGAGGATGTGGAAGTGCGGCCTGTTTATGCGTGAAATGCGCCGCCTCGCAGCATTTGTCATGTGTGTGCTGGGCGGGCGAGGGGGGCTCAAGGGGTACTGAAGGGCGTTGTCAATTATGAATTTATTAGAGACTACAATTGTGCCTAGCTATGCACGGATGTGTGTGTGTGTGTGTGTGTGTGTGAGTCTTAGACTGGGTAATTATGGGTTGAGAATCAGTAACAGCTGGCATCAAATATAGATATCAAGATTTCTGGCTATGGCAGCAGCTGAGGATAGTCCCAGACAAAGAGAAGTTAAGTGAGATAATTGACGGAAATGTTTTTAAATCGTGAATATTAACACATTTGAAAATTAAATCGTTAATATTTAAAAGCTTTAATACATTTTTCGTAAATAAATTCTGAAATTTGTACAATTTATTTATCCATATTCGACGGACCCATCTGGCAACGCCGTATCTTTTGACAGAGACGTCACATCAAACAACCCTGTATTTACTTTGATTTGTGTTAAATTTTAAATATACATACATATTTACTTTATTCATAGTTCATATTCCAGCTCACTAAGAAAGTTTCTAACTGTTATTTTTAGTTTAAATATTTAACTAAAAATCACTTGATTCCATTTGTTAACATCATTTCCATTCTTAATGCACTTCAAAAATTTAATCTGCTCACAAAGTTTTGATAAACGATAAAGAACATGCCTGTAAGTATTATTTAAGCCGAGTTACTTGGCAACAAATCAAATTCGTTTTCTGGTTTTTACTTTTGAAACAACCGTAAGGTAGAATTTATCAATATGGATCTGTAGCCATGGTTTTATAATTGTCTCTGACTTTATCGCTTTGTCTGCTTATGCCCTGCACGATGTTGATATAGAGAGAGATTTGAAGCTATTGTAAAAACATTTTAGTTATCCACTTCAACTTTACCTACCACTTCAACAGCTTAAATATTTAATTTAAGAGTTGTTGGAATAATTGAATTATTTTCTGTTTCTTTTCCTCTCCCCTCTCACTCTCTTTCTCTGTCTCTGTCTCTGTCTCTGCCTCTGTCTCTCTCTCTCTCTCTCGCTCTCTCTCTCTGAACAGAGTATTGCCCAGTTTTATGCTTTTGATAACCTTTTCCACAGAATTTGCCAAAGTTCCGTTTTCGTAATTTTCCGCACAAGCTCTGCACACATATTTAGTTTGAACTTTATTTTTTTATGGTCCTAGAATTTGATTTTTATTTTGCTGACTTTCCACTCGCTTGTCGCTTGTCTCTCGTCTCTTATCTCTACTGCTGCTCTGCGTGTGTGTGTGTGTGTGTGCTGCCTCGTTTTTGTTGTAAATTGTTTGAAGTGCCTCTCGAATGCGAAACGATTGGCCTCCCCTACCATTAAACCTCTTGCTGCCTTCACTCTCCCTCCTCAACTCTCTCTCTTTCCCCATCTTTTCCTCACCCACTGTGTGCCTGCAATTGCCCGTCCATGCTTCAATTTATGTTGATTTTAAGTGGCAAATTGTATTTGCATTTTAACTTTTATGAAGGAGCCAACCACAAGTAGCCCTTTGTGCTTGACTGTCTGAAGTTGAGCCACGATAGGGGGTAAGTGATTTGCTTGTCGTGTCACGAGCCGCTCACAAACTCAAAACAGGAGCCGCAACGGCGGCCATCAAGTCTTTGATGGATTTTTAATTCAATAGAACCTCTTTATATATGTATATACAAATATATATGTATGTATATATACATGTTTGCCATCGATAATAATTGTTGTCGTCTGTTAAATGCGTGACTAATTGGGGGCGTGGCCAAACACTTACAATTTACTGTGCTGTGGCCTCCAGCTATGCCTTATTGTGAATTGAACAAACTGTAAATTACCTGAAAGTAGAAGAACAATAAAATTAAATTAGTTCTGTTTGCATAAAAAGTTGGCAAATATTAAAGAACAAAACTTGTTCTAGTTGTAAAATATGATGAAGGCTAATTAACTTTGCTTAGTTTAATTATGCTAAAAGCAGGTCAACAAGCTTAGCTGAAAAATATTTATTCACAACAATTTATCAAGTGTCAAGTCGAGTTAGCATTCAGTTGACATTAGGTTAATTTGTGTGCCATTAACACTAAGTTTACTTCATGGTTAAGCAACTCGGGAACTTTTACAATTTGCTTGCAAATCAGATATGTAAATTGACCGCAAGTTAACATAAAGTTAACATTATGTTCACTTAGCTGCTATACTTTATGCTCGGTCTTAGTGTTGTATCTTACGAGAGCTCTCAGAGAATTCAAATAAAATAAGTTTGTATCTAAACTTTTGTCTGGCCAGCTCATGTAGACACAAGCCCAATTAAAGTACAATTTAGCTTCTTTTTTGGCTGCTAAAAACTAATTCAGAATTATAAGAAAAAGTTATTGGCTAATCCGCTTTTGTGTGTGATTTGATTATGAATTTTGTGGCGTTTGGCTGGGCAACAAGTTTCTTAAATTTCTGCCATGAATGCAGAGCGCATTTAGCACTGCACAAAAAAAGATGATATATGATTCGGAGTTTGCAAGTTATCTCTGACCGAATCACATATCTGTAAAATGCCACACAAAAAGAAGAAGAAGAAGAAGAGTGCAATGAAAATAAAAGTTCTGCAAGGCATTTTGGTTCAATTCCGTTTGGATTCTGGCTTTTTTGGCTCGCACACAAAATGGCTGCATAGAGACTGAAGCAAAGGATTTAGTTTGCCCACAGTTTCACACACACACAAACACACACACAGACACAGTAAGTGCTGCACATGTGCGCATGTGTGTGTACATTGAGGCTTATTACACTAATTACTGTGGGTCACATTCCATTCCAGGCAGCCATTCAGCCAGTGAGCCAGTGCTTCGTACTATCCCTCTCCCTCTCCCTCTCCCTCTACCAATACCCTATCTCTGTCCCTATCCCTTAGCCTGCAGCGTAAACTTTTTGCGGCTGCTCACCATTGGCATTGGTACGAGGGTGCGGGGTTGGAAGGGACTGTTTCGCTTTTTTGCCATGGCTTATTATAGCCGCCAACTGTTGTCTACATACAGAGATATTTGTGAATATTGTATGCATGATATGTTATGTACTAGTATATGGGCAATTATGCACTCAGAGAAATCGGCGACCGATTCGGCATTTAATACATAAGCTGCTTGTAAAAGAATCTTAAATGGTTTTCAAAGCTGATTAAGCCTTAAGCCCAAATACGTAGCTGTTGAATATCAGTTCGCGGGCATGATTTAGGAATATTTAATATATAAGCTTTGAACTCAGTAATACTCTTAATTAAGAGACGAGTTTAGAATCAAGTAAAAAATATGTTTCTTTTACAGCTGATTCATATATCAAATTAAAGATTTATACATATGTATATTTTTAACAATACTTGAAAACTGTAATTATTTAAACGAAAAAAGTATTCTGATTATCTTTAGCAAAATCTAGCTAATATTAATTTTGATTTATTTTTCATTCTTTTATAATACTTATAGGTATTCTCAGTCCCCTACAAAGTACTTCCCAATTTCTCCAAATATATACATATATTTATTGCTATACGGTCTATGGATGTTTGTAAATGTTATATGGGAACTGCCCAGTTGAGTTAGTGAGTTACGGTCCGGAGTCTCTGTTACTGTTGCTGTTGCTGTGGCTGTTATTGCTGCTGCTGTCTCTGTTAATGGCTTTCATGGGAATCGCGTGCAGTAATACGATTTAGCACCGAGCTGAGAGTACAGTACTCTCTCACTCTCTGTGCTGCAGTTGGACTGCGAGTTTGTATGTAAATAATAGCATAAATATAAATAAATATAAATAAAAACATTCACTCACACATCCACTGTTGTGTGTGTGTGTGTGTGTGTGTGTGTGTGTGTGTGTGTGTGTGTGTGTGTGTGCATATGTGCTGGTGCGAAATTCTGTGCATTTCATTTTATTTTATTGCATTTCACTTTTAGCAGCTCCGCGCGTGTGCGACATTGCACGGCCGCAAATACGCGCCGCAAAATTCACGCAAACAAACACAGAGTGTTCTCTGTGCATGTAAGTGTGTGTGTGTGTGTGTATGTGTGTGTGTGTGTGTGTGTGTGTGTGTCAGCAGAGCTAATACCATTGTGGAATTTTTATTGCCCTTCGCCACTGTCAGCGAGCACACTCTGTGCATCCACCTTACTAGCAGAGCTTTAGAGTGAAATATTTCATAAAAGAGGCGCAGGACAAATGTATTAAGCTAGAGCTTAAAGAGAGTTAGACTCTTACACTGGGAGTTATTCAATGTATTCCTTCACTTGGTGGATTTCAAAGGACAATTTTGTGCGCCTAATTACTTAATCTAATTACTTAATCTGCCTTGAGTTAAATTTCATTAAAACTTGGCAGATTTTGAATCAAAATTAAGCGTTTGTTTCAAGAGTTTTGAGTTCCTCAAGCCAAAACAGCTAGAAAATTAAATATTATTAGATTCAAGAAAAAAAAATTCAAAATTATTTATTCAAATTCAGCTGACAGAAGACTTCATATAAGACATATGTTATATATAAATATACGCATATATTTATGTCACATCTGAAGATGATGATGTGATGTTCTCATCCCAAAACTCCCGCTTCATGCATTACGTATTCCAGGGTATTGCAAGAGTCAAAGGAATTTTTACAATTCTGCAAGCATTGCATAAATCCATTAGTGGGTGTGAGTGTGTGTGAGTGTGAATGCCTGAGTGAGTGACTGTGCGTGCATGTGTGTGTGTGTGTGTGTTTGGGCATGCAGAAAAAACCTTATCTGTGTGTGTCTGTGTGTGAGTGTTTGCATGTTTTGAAGTCGGCTTTCATTACGAATTACGTTCTTTTCGCTTTAATGCCAAAAGTAAAACAAAACGAATGACTCGAAAATATTTCATATGTGAGCCTTTCGTTTTTTACACCGTTGCTGTTGTTGTCGTTGTTGTTGTTGTTGCTGTCAACTATGCACGAGTTTTACCTGTAACGTTTGCGGTTTATTTTTAGTTGCGGCAACAAAAACAGCCAAAAACAGCTAACAACAATCAAACTAATGAACTTGCCTCATGCATTTTTCACTGCTCTGTCTGTGGGTGCGTGTGGGCGTGGCATTGAAATATTTAACTACAATTTTCAATAGATTTTCTCACCTGTCGCCAACAGCTCGCTGCCGGTGTCAACACACACACACATACACACACACACGCACACTATCTAGATTTATTTTTGCTAGCTTCTCTATGCGCTGCGATTTTGGATATGGAATTTTAAATAGCGATTGAATAGATGTTGACAGCTCCAGAGCGGGGTGCGCAGTGGGCGGGAGTGTTGTGGCTCTGTGTGCGTGTGGCATGTGCGGCGTCTGTGGCCACAATTGGAATTTTGGATTGAATTTGTGAGTTGATTTTTATAGTCGATCAAACTCTGCATTTAGCTATATATATGTAGTAGAAGAGCCCATTCGGATTTTGCTCTAAACCAACGGAAGGCGGCTCTTAACTAATGGGCGTGGCATTAGTTTGTATGCAATCTGGTAGTTAGTCTGTGGCCCAGCAATAGCTACAATTTCATTTAATAGCTAGATGTGGTTGAATCTATTCCAACAAATTCCATATGCCAAAAAAAAGAAGGAAAATCAGAAAAATTCTAGCTCACGTTTTAATGGCCGCAGAACACATAAATTTCCATTTTCTATGCGGCATAAATCAAAAATGGCGATGCAAATGCTACACGCACCAAAATATGCCAAACATTTAGCCGAAAAATGTGTGTGCGGCTTTATTTATTTGATTTTATCCCCGTCGACAAATAAAAAGTGAAGCAACCCCTTGGCCCTTAAAAAACGAAATCAACAAAAATGGAAGCCAAAGTTCAGGCTTTGAAATTTTCAACATTTGTGGTGTGCCGTGACAGCCCTGACAGCATGTTGGGGTTGTCTCCGCCTGTTGTTGTTGTTGTTGTTAGTGCTACTGTGCCAGGCGTTTTCCTTCTGAGCTTCTTCACGCTCTCTCTATCTCTCTTTCTCACTCACTCTCTGGCTTGCTCGCTTTCTCGGTTTGTTGGTTTATTAAATTTGCCAGCTGTAATGCAATTTTCGCGTGCCAAATTGGTTTAGGCTTGCTTTGGCTAGCGCTGCGGCTGCAGGGTTGTTCCACGCAGCATCATCAACAAACAACATCATCATGATCATCGTTGTCGTTATGAACATCATTAGCTGCAGCGGCGTCAAAGCCATCAATTTTGTTTATTTATTTATTTTTTTTTTTTTTTTAGATATTATCTGTAGGCTTTGCAGCCATTGGCTGTTTGCCAGCAGTCGCAGTCGGCTGCAACCCTAAGCAAATGTTTGCTAAGCCTCGTTCATATGTTGCGCAGACAGTCTGCATTGGCAACATGTTGCTGCAACATGTGCGTGCAACATTTGTCAACTGCATTTGTGTGAGTTTTATGCGCTTCCAACCGGCTGCATTGCTGTGTCATGAAATGTGAAACGCATGCTGTTATCATGGCTTATAAGCCATTTATAACCTCTTCATATGTAACTTCCATATATATATATATATAGTATTCCTGTTCAGTCTAAGTAGCTAAGCTTGTATGGATTTTAATGTATATTAAAAAATGTATTATTCATTTAACAGTTATCATATTAAGTTTGCCTAGGTTTGATATTCTATAAGGAATATTTCGAGGCATTATTTACACCATATAATATTGCTGTCATAGCAAACAGCGGATGATTATTGAGTTATTAGAGGAAAACTCTTAATTATGATTGGCTCTCTGGCTATTTTACCAGAACTTACTGCAGTTATGTAGAAGAACTTGGTGTAAAAATGTATTTGCTAAACCTGTTACGGCAAATCGTTCATAATAACTCAACCGAACTCTGTCAACAAGCCCTCTCTCATCATTCCAACCTCCTAAAACACTTGCCTGGCAGAGTCTAACTTGTTCGGCATATTGAATATCGCTGCTCCTTTTTTTTTTTTTTTTTTTTTTTTGTTCACTGCTTGGGGAATTTAATTCACTTAAAATGCATCTCAGTACATAAATTCACACGTCTTTTAAGCGCAGCATAACAACACAACTCACATGTGCCTTTGCCGCTCTGGAGACACATAAATCGCCAGCTAGCATAAAGTGCTGCAGCTTGGGCTTCTGCTGCTGCTCTGTCCCTGCTCTACTTCACTCGCTTACAGCTCCAGTCAACTTTAGTAATTATTCAAATGTTTCGTCACCCCCCCGTGCTCGCCCAACTCGTCAGCCTCTGCAGCCAGGTGCTGAAAGGGACGTTGGGCGTGGCAGCCGCAGCTGGCAGTTTAGTATGTTAAGTTTTTAGTTGGGCTCTCGCAAATTTAATAATAGCCAAAAACTTTGTTGTTCTTGTTGTTGTTGCTTTTTATTCTTAACACCAAATTGACTGCACGTGTTGCTATCCAGCTATCCAACCCCCCGTTGCATCACACCCTCCCCGTAGTCAGTTGTCGCATTCTGTAACATTTTACCTTGACTTAGCTACATCTTTTTGGCTGTTGTCAGCTTTCAGTTCTGTTGACATTTTCCCTGCCTCAGGTTTTTATCGTAATTTGTTGCTGGCATTTTCTTGGCATTTTCTCCAAATTTAATTTCTATTATTTTCTCTAGCTTCTTCTGCTTCTTCTTCGTTTTTTCTAGCAACTTTGACAAGTTTCTAGTTGCAGTTGGGCTAAGTGAATTAGAGCATCTGGCTAGCAACTAAAAACCTGCAGCTAAATTGTTTTTCAAAATGCCTGCGAGCACTTGCACATTGCACATTGCACACGAAATGTTCTTTGATATTTGCTTAAACTTTGTGGCACATCAATTAGCCAAATGCCGAGCTGAAAAGGACAAACGGAGCGCCGCCTCATGTGGCAGGCAATGTTATTGTTGCTGATTAAATAGAGCCAACTTTAATGTAATTAAACTGTTGTTGTTCTTAATGTAAGTTTTCACTGCTCAGACTGGCGTCTGGGCCACATCTTTCAGGTCTTTGCCAAATTAAACACACGCTGTTTGCACACACACACACACACACACACATACACTCACTCTCTTAATGAATGTCTCTTTTCCAGGAACTACAACTAAGTGGCTGCAGTCAAATGGAAAATCCTCGTACTCGCATTTACAGTTGTAAATGTGAATGGAAATTGAAACACATTAATAATAAATTAAGCAAAACCAATTTAATTTCCAGCCATGTGGCTTAAGCAATAAATTAAAGAGCAAAGTAGCAGCATTTAATAATACAATTAATATTGAAGTCTGTGAAAAGCATTTAATGGACATGGAAGCAAAGCAGCAGAATGGATATGGCAGTGCTAAATGTTTATGATAGTTAATTGGATAAGTTTTGGGTATTTAAGTTTACTATTATTTTTATTTAGTTCATTTTGGTATAATTCATTTTTTAGTTAAATTTAATAAAAATTAAAATTTGATTATTATAATATTATCATGTAAATTACTCCAACTATTTTTTTATATTTCCAAATTTTTTCTTTTTATTTTAATCATTACTTCCCTTTCATTATTAGTTATACAATAAATGTCCTATTTCATCACTATAATTTTTTTTTTAATGTTCCAAAGCTATTTTAATGTTTTTCTTTCAACTCTCTTATAAAATTTACTACATTTTCATTACCTGCGCATTTTTATAAATATTTTAAAAAAATTTAAAGCAGTTAAATTACTTTTCTTTTTATTCTAAAACTCAAATTTCGTCTCCATAGAAATCAATCAAATGCCTCAGCTCAATATCGAGTTCAATAAATCATACTCCATAAATTGCTCAAAATGTAAGTTAAAACAAAAGCAAGTTTCATGGCTAAATAAACTGCTAATTAGCCGTTTCGCTATTGTTAATTAATATGGCCATAATGCAGACAGTTTCGGAAGTGAACTTCATTTTCGTACATGAACCTGTCAAAACTGAATCAAGGTTCATTTGTAACTCGAGCACGCGCACGTCGACTGAGTGGGTGTACTAAAAGTCTCTGTAAGACAGCCAGTCAAGTATCTGTCAGATACAAACAAAAAAAAAAAAAAAAAAAAAAAACAACACTTTCACATGCATATACATATACATATATATTTTGAAGCATAACTGTTGTGCATACCAGCACATACGTAATTAAAATTTTACTCAAAATGTATGCCTGAATTTAATTTAATTTAATTTTACACGAACACACACACACACGCACGCATGCACGCACATGGAATGCGTAAAGTCATGCGAGACTTAAAGATAAGTCAAAGACAGCAGTAAATGATTATTAACTTTGACATCTATGCGAATGGAGTGAGCTAAACACACATTTGCATATGAATAGGCCAATAAAACTGTAAAATAATTTAATTTGCAACACACACATGCACACACACACCACACACATGCACACACACACTCACCCATAACAATTGTCTAATTGTTTCGCATATTTTGCGGTCAAATTGTAAATTTCCAAATTTCAGCATGCGATTAACATGAACTGCGACTGTTAAATAGGAATTTTAATTAAAATGTTGTTATACTATAATCTGAATCCCAGCATGCAATCAATGATGAGCATTCTCCATTCTCAAGCGATAATTGTTGCAGATATCAATTTCAAATTGGTCACAAAAATACAATAAAAATAAACTTCAAATTAAATTGTAATAAACGCGTTCGACTATCTCACGGATTAATCACGTTTTTTTCCTCCACATTTTTCCCCTTTTTTTCTTTTAATATGCACCATTTTCAGGGCTTTACTGTTTGTCATTTTTTAACGACAATTTTTCCGCCCAGCGCATCGCTACTCAATTCATTTTTTGCTCCCATTAATGAAAATGTTGAAAAAAAAATAAAATTTATATATAACTTTTACTGCCTTATAAATGGACCTGGTTATGGTTTCTCATTTTTTTTGTTTTGTTTTGTTTTGTTTTTTTTTTTGTGTTCTCTTCCTATCCGAGGCAAGAGCCATTGACTTTATTGCGTGAAAATTTATATATATCACATATATAACGCATACATATACACATACTTTATGCGACTGTATGTATGTATATGTTGTGTAATTCAGTTGCGTAGTTGGTAGTAAATTGTTAAGTGTTCTGAATGCAATTGAAATGAGAAGTCAACAGGAGCAGCAGCAGCAGCAGCAGCAGAAAAGCCTTTGATACCCTATAAGGTTGTGGGTAATGTGTGCATATATATGTGTGAATAAATGTTCATAATATTACTTTTAATATAAGCATATTTCAAATAGCTCTTTATGGTTTGCTTACTTGGTTCACTTTGCTAAAATATTTTTAAATGTGGAAAAGCCTTTGAAAATATATTGTATTTAAGCTTTGGCTAGATATATATTATCTGTGAGCATAATATTTTTATGTAAGACATTTTACGCAAGTAAACAAGCACTAAAAAGCAATTTAAGTATTGAATTGATGTGAGAGCCGTCTTTAAGGAATAAGGAATAAGGTAAAAGGAATAAAAACTGTCTGTGATAGCTCAACAGAAGCAAGGAAAATATTACAGAATTATAAATGAAAATATTAAAGGCAAACTAGAAATCCTTCATATAAGTTTATTTAGATTAAATTATTCATGTAACCAAACAAAATATTTTATTTTTACTTGAAAATTTACAACAATTATTTTTTGAATATTTAAATGTTTTATAAAAAAAAAAAAAAAAAATTATAAAATATGTATAGAAAAAGTAGTAATTTTTCATTTCATATTTTAAGTAATTTATTTTTATTATTATTAATTTAAATAAGTTAATCGCTTAAAAGCTTAAGGTAAAATACATATTGCATTTTGCGACCTAAAAATTCATAGTAATAAATGTTTGTATATGTATAAACTTTTAAAAAATAATTAATTATAAATTTAAGAAATGCAATTTCTGCGCTTGAAAATGGATGATAAATAAAAATGTATAATAATTTTTTTGTTTTTTTTTTTTTTAATTTATTTTTACTTCTACTTTACATGTATTTATGTATTAAGTATATAAATAATTTTCAGTAATAAATACTGTATCCAAAAATATATATACTTATTTATGCAAAAATCAAAATCAAAATATGTAACTAACTTAAGAAAACATGAATTTCTCTCGAATTTCAACTGCTTGTTATTAATAGGGTATCTGGCGAAAGTTGTGTGCGTTCCGAGAGAGTGTTTACGCTGGCTGTTGCCGTACGACTGCATGGTCATTTCATGGATTTCGATGGGGGCTTTGCATGTGTAAGGGGCCAAGTTAACAGCATTTTCGCGTTGTAATTCTTAAAAAACATGGCCGCAAAATTGTATTTCAGTTGGCCAGCAGAGGGCGCAGGGCGTCGCTTTAAGTTGCCTCTTAAAGATATTGTTGCTGTTGCAGTGCGTGCTGAGCTGAGCAGCAACAGCAGCAGCAACAGCAGCAGCAACAACAGTAAACAGCAAAAGCAATAACAAGACTCAATTTGCATATTGGAGCATTGAACTCCGGCAAATGAGAACTGCGAACTGAGAACTGGGTTGGTAATCGTAATCGCTGCGGTTGAAGTTGGGCTCGTTGACGTTTCGGGGTGGGGTATACACGTTTCAAATGGCATTCGTTTCAATTGAAATGAGTGGCAGGCAGCCAGGCAGGCAGGCAGGCAACGGTGCGGGGATAGGTGCGGGTCTAGCCATGGCTCATGACTTGGGCCAGTTTGTTTGCCCAGCTGATGGACAAGTGTCATGGACGCGACTCAAAAGGGCTTGGCTATCTACCTCCCTCCCTCTCTCACACTCTCCCCCCCCTCTCTCTCTCTCTTTCACTCTCTTTCTCTCTGACTGACTGACTGACAACCATCCAACTGTCTGCTGACTATGTGACGGCGCTGTTGGTTTCAGGGCGCGTCGCACTAAATTTGATTAATTCAGCTAGCATGCATACATCAAATTTAATAAGAGCTAGAGAGAGAGGTAGAGATAGAGCGAGAGAGACGTACGCATAACAAGTAAACTATGCCACGACCGACTTTCCGCGACGGCTAATGAAAAAGCTCCAGCTGCAGCCAAATCAGATTCAGCAGCAGCAGCGGCAGCTGTAGATGAATTGATTTTAAATCAATATTGACAGATGACATTGACAGCGATGTGAATGGACCCGCTGAGAAATGCGCTGAGCGCCCAAGCGTGAAAGAGAAGAGTGACAATAAAAGAAGAAGATGGAAGGAGAATGTGGGCAAACAAAGCAAGACATTTGCATTTGCAACATGTCGCGAATGTGATGCAAATGCTAAACGCAACATCATAAAAATTGCGAGGGCAGCTATTCTCCCACTCTTCCGCACTCCCTCTCTCTCACTCTCTTACATTTATGTCCATCTCTCTCTCTTACCCAATCACTGCTGCGCCGCGCGTCAAGTGCGAAATTAGCGAAGCGACAGTCGAAAGCCAAATAGTCAATAGAAGCATTTTAAAGATAGATGGATGGATCGTTAGATAGTTAGATAGATGGTTAGATGAATGTGAGGCATGGCAATGGAATTAGGGATAGATGAAAGCTGGCATAGAATGCGCTTGCAATGATTCGCTGAGCTGACAACATATCGAATTATGCTGGGAGCTGCTGCTGCTGTTGCTTCAGCTGCTTCTTCTTCTGTTGACCCAAATAGTGAATAACAACTGACAAGAGAGACGGAAATAATGTAAATAGAATTTCTCATTTGTTAATGCCTCAAAGCTGATTGATTGCGAGCTTCAGCTGCAGCAAGAAATTCTTGTGGTTGACAAAAAAACAAAGAAACAACGAAATGAAATAGAAACTAAGCCGATTTTCGTATTTAATGGCAGCAGTCTTATAATTTCTATAGGTTTTTACGTATTCATGTTGAAAAACACTCAAAATATGAAGAAGTGGCATTAAAAATATGAGTTGAGTAAGCCCTTGCAGCCGTCTGAAACTATTCGCCCAACTCTCTCGTAGCGCTGGCATCTTTGAATTGCTCAAACTAAACTCAACCCGAAGCCCGCTCTGCATCTCGTTTTATCTTCATTCATCTTCACGTAGTCGCATTTCAGTTATTCAGTTATTCTGGTCACAGAGCCCGCATAAGCATCGAACAATTGGCTGGGCCAGAAGTGTTCGCTTAATGGAAAGGACTTTCTATAGACTGAGAGGGATAGGGCGAGGGAGCAGGAGCAGGAGGGGGAGAGTGTGAGAGAGGGAGAGAAACAAGAATTGTGAGTTAATAAATGTCAAAAGTGACATTTTGC